TGGCCTTAGTGGCTTGAGATGTCAGGGACAGAATTAGGCCTTAGCAGATCAGATGAACTAACAACAACTAATATTCTCTGTAGAGGAATGTAGCAGCATCTAGTCTTTATAACAAAAATATTACCAGGCATGCAAGAAAAGTAAAAAACACATACTGATACAGAAATGAAAAATGCAGTGAACAGAAATTGACTAATCATGATATGATTTAGCAGACAAAGAGTATAAAGGCGAAGATCCTAAATAGCTTATAAGGAAATAAACTTTTAAACAAGACTGATGAGACATCTTGGCAAAAAAACAGGTATCATAAAAAAAGGAATCAAACTAGAATTCTAAAGGTGAAACATAAATGGAATGTACAATTTACCAGATTAGCTCAAGGCACGAACAAAAAAACAGAAGAGTGGGTGTATTTTAAAATAAGCAATACAGAGTTCAATCTGAAAAACACAATTTAAAGAAAAACAAGGAGGTCAACTCCTGTAATGATTGAGAGGAAAACTGGGCCCCTAGGTGGCTTTTTCGTGGCTGATGTTTAAACGTAGAGGACCAAATCTTTGTTTGGATGGGCTCCTGAGTGGATTTCAATCTGCTGGTTCGCACCTGAGCTTATTGACCATGTGCCCCACCCAGAGACTTCACAGGCTAGATGAACACAAAGAAAACCGTATCAAGGCACGCCCAAGCAAGAAATGTTATCTAAAGATAAAGTAGCTACAGAAAAAAAGACAGTACATAAGGAAACAACAATACACATGACAGCCGATGTCTTATGACAAACAATAGCAAGCAGAGACAATGAATGCACTCAAAGTGCTGAAAGGGTCACACATTTTGATGGGTGGAGGGAAGGGGTAGGTAAAAGAAATGGGAAAGAACCTATGTGAAAAACACTGTATACAACTGTAAGTAAATCAGTATAAAATAAAATTTTTTTAAAAAAATATATAAAGTGCTAAAAGGATAAAACAAAACAAACTAGATTTCTCTATCTGGTAGAACTATCTTCCTAAGATGAAAGTAAAAACACAGCTATTTCATTTTAAAGTATCTTTATTATGTTGTTGTTGTTGTGTACGTACCATTGAGTCAAACGGAACCACCGCTGACCATCAAGCAGGTTTTCAGAGGCAGTTAATCACAAGGGGGGGGGAGACTGCCCATCCTTCTCCTGCAGAGCATTTGGTGGACTCGAACCGTGTGCATTGCTGATTGCAGTGCAGCATGTTGTCACTAGGCCACCACAGCTCCCAACCCAGCTATTTTTCAATGAACAGAATGTTTCACCAGCAACCCTACATTACAAGGTACTCTTGAGAATTTTCTTCAAAATGAAATGATACAACACTCAGATCTACAAAAAGGAAGAACACCAGAAATGTTAAGGTTTTAGCAAATGTAAAATATCATGCTTGTGTATCCTTTGTTCTATTGATTTAGAAAAGGTCCATAGTGAGCTCTGGTGGCTAGTTAGTGGTCAGGAGTTATACTGTCAACCCAAGAGCAGGTGGTTCAAATCCACCAATTTCTCAGAGGGCGAACAATAGACAATCTCTTATGTGATTTACAGCCTCTGAAGACTCACTGGCGTGTTAGCTATGAGTCTGTTCTGACTTGACAGCATGTACTTTTTTTTTACACCAGTAAATATTTTTTGGAAAAAAAAACCCTTATACATTTACAAAGTTTGAAACATTGTTTTTCACAAAAGATCCTTTTTGAAAGCACAAATTATAACATGTACTGTGGAGTTCATCATTATATCACACATTCATATGAAAACAGGAAAAATTTAAGGAAGCAGGATGAGGATTAATTAAACTATACTCTTGCAAGGTTTTCCATTTTATAAGCATTTGCATCATATTAACCCTACAAAGATTGTGAATTATATGGTAACCCCTAGAACAACTATTTAAAAAATACAGATTATATTCTCACATAAGTAAACAAAATTTAAAACATTTTATTATATGAAAAGACAATAAAAGGAGCAACAGGATGACGGTTGAGGCAGGAGAGTAAATGTAAACCATCAGTAATATTAAATGTAAACTGACTTAACAGAAGTAAAAGGCAAGGATTGTTGTTGTTGTCAAGATGACTAGCTCTCACAGTGACCCTAAAAATAACGAAAGATGAGACCCAGCCCCGTCCTGTGCCATCCTCAGGATCTCACACATGTTCAAGCTCATTGTTGTAATCACTGTGTCAGTCCATTTCCTCAATGGTCTCTCTTTTGCGGACCTTCTACCTTTCCTAGCCTGGTTTTTTCCCCAAGGACTGACCCCTCCTGACAGCATGCTGGAAGTGTCAGTCAAAGAGTGTAGATAGAAGTACAAGACTCACCTATATGCCAAGACATGAACTTTACAAACTCAAAAAAAATTTAAAAAGAAACAAAACAGTTGATAAAATTTTACAACATTCCCATAGTAACCTATTGTTAGAAAAAAAGTTTGCATTTGCAATTATCAACCAGGAATTTTTTCCCCAAATTATACATAGGCAAACAATGTAGGTGGTTTAATTTTTATTTATTTTGGGAGGCGGCAAGGATACTGTGCCTTTGCTGATTTTGTTTTTACTAATATTTTGTTCATTTTGCATCTATTTCTGTGCCTCTTTAAGGTGAGCTCACTACACTCAAAGCACTTAGGTGCTTCTCACAGCTGTACCACTTCCAGGCTCCACATTTTCCCCTCACTTATTTTTATCTCTTGGTTGTCACTGTTGCTTTTTGTATAGTAGGAACTTTCTAAAACAGGGTTCTAGGATTAAACTTAGTTTTGGGATCATTTTCCTGCATTCTTTACACAATACTGAAGCTATGATGCATTCTCAAACTCAGACAATTCAGAACTAGGGCAGGGCTGGAAAGAGACTATGACAACAAAGAAACTTCATACCAAGCATGACTACGAAGAATGGTTTTGTGGCATGTGACACATCCGTCTAAACCAAGTAAGTGAAAGGAACAGCTCCAATGCCCTTCTGGCCATCCTTGTTTTACAGTCTATTCCAACCACCCCAGTGGTGCATGACATCTGTTTCTGTTCTCCAAACTATGACCTTGGGAAACACTGAATTAGTAAACTAGTAGCCCCACCAGAGACAGAACCTGTTTATTCCATTACTTTTGGAAAAAATTTTTAAGATGCTCTGCAAGTGATTCATGCACAATTTAAGCCACATTTGAATGCAAAGGCACTGCCTATGTGTGTTGGTGTTGTGAGCCATCAAGTCACCTCTGACTCATGACCCCCTCATGGACAATAGAAAACCCTGCTTTATCCTGCGCCATCCTTATATCCTTTGCTGTGCAACTCACACGTGTTATGTGCCACTGAGTCAGAACTGACCCTCCAGCAGGCTTCCAGAGGCAGTTAATTGCATGGGAGGAGACTGCCCATCCTTCTCCCATGGAGCAGCTGGTGGATTCGAACTGCAGATTACAGTGCAGATTCTTACCAATAGGCCACCATAGCCCAGCAAAGGTTACTTTATAGGGCAATGTAGAAAAGCAGTAAAGCTACAGATGATATACAATTGTTTACTTCTGAAAACGTAAGCAAATGACGAGCTACTTCAAAGATCTTCTCAGCATTGATCAGAACTGAAAATATGCAGAACAGATCATTTATGGTAAGATGTTATAAACAGTTTGTTTGCTTGGCTCCACAATCAGCATAACAGTAGCAGCCGGGAAATTAAAGGACATATTGTTTTTGGGAAAGTCTGCTGTCAGAGATCTCTCCAAAGTACTGAAGAGCAAGATGAGCAATGATGTCAGTCTGGACACTAAGGTGCACCTGATCCAGGCCATGGTCTTTGCAATCACTTGCTATGCATTAGAAAGCTGTACAATGACTAGGGATGATAGAAGTATTGATGCCTTTGAGCTGTGGTGTTGGAGAAGAGTACTGAATATACCATGGTCTGCTAAGAGAACAAACAGGTTCATCCTACAGAGGGTTAAACCGAGCTGCTCCTTGGAGGCAAGGATTCTAAAACATCATCTGACATACTTTGGACATCTTGCAGGGAGGGATCAGTCCTTGGAGAAGATCGTCATGCTTGGAAGGGTGGAAGGGCAGTGCAGAAGAGGAAGACTCTAAATGAGACGGATTGATTCAGTGACTGGGGTAATGGGGATAGGTGTGTCAGAGTCAGTAAGAGTGGCACAGGATAGAGCAGGGTGTAGAGCTGTGGTACAGAGTGTCTTTATGAGTCATAGGCAACTGGACCACACATAACAACAACAAATACTGATGAAATAATTCCAACAACCTATCATACAATTTAAATGAAGATTTAAGGGCCTGTTATGACTCATGTAGGGGTAAACATGCCACGTGCTGTTTATACATGGCTTGTTTAGAGATGTGTATACACGGTTCTTTAGAGATGACAATACCGCCCCATTCATATGCCATACTTACGCTGAACTTCCCTCAACAAAATATTCTGCATGACAGTGATTTTTAAAGAAAATACTTTATTATGTCATGAAAAAGGTATTATCAATCAACTAGATTCATACTTGAACAAAAAACAAATGGAAAATTTCTTAATTAGACAGTATATGGGCATCCTTTTCCACACGGGAATGAGAAGACGCTTTAAGTTCTTTTAGTATTGCACAGTCTGAAAAAAAAAACCCCAACAAAAAAAAAGGCAAAGGGGGAGGGGGTGGGAAATCACATGATCTTGGGAACCATCTCACATTATGAATAACCTACCAAGAAACATTTAAAAAGAGAAAAGCCCTTGTTTCTACAGTAGTTTTGAGTTTATAGTTCTTGGAATGACTATATTCCACTGAAGGCAACTCCGTAACAGGAAGCTTCATTTTAGCAATCCCATGTGCAAATATTAATAAAAAACAAAAACAAAAACAAAAAATATATATATAGAAAATAATGCAATTCACCTCTTTGCCATCACCCTGGCAATCATGACACCATTTTTGAGAACTGTTTGTTTGAAAGGGGGGGTTAAGCCATAAGTTTGGCCTGAAGCTCCATCTCCGCAGCCCTTTTGAGTGCAACATCCACTAAAAGCTGAAAGCCACTGAAATCCTGGTTGAGGTCCGGGGGGGTGGGAGGTGGAGTGTTGAAAAGGCCACTCTGTGCGTTTGTACTTGGTCCCGATTTGCACGTGTCCTCGGGGTACAGGAAGGAGGTGTCTGTGAAGTTGCTGGCTGCGATTTGCTGGAGATCTGAGTTTTGTCCCATGCCTAGTGCATGACAGAGTGGGAATGAAGGCACATCTTTCGATGCAGTCACTGTGGTATGACAGATCACGGATGGCCGAGCCAAAACTAATCCAGGGGACGAGGACTTGGGAGATAGCGGCCTCCCGACGGTGGGGTTTGGTCCAGTACAGGAATGAAATGGGCTATCCTCAAGAGTTGGCATTAAGTTCTTGATGCCCACTGCTGATTCCACAGAATTACCTTCCGAAATCTTGGCCCCACGGCGGGAAATGGTGAACTGATTTGGATCTTTGCCATCCTTTCTCAGCATGTCAGGGAGGAGCCTGCGGCGGGCGTTGATGAACCAGTTACAGACCTGCAATCATATCAGCATGCTATCATTCACTCAGCAAACACTTTCTGAGAACCTTCCAGGGGTGCCCATTTGACCTCTCTCTTTGTATTAAAGAAGGCCTGAGCTCACAAAGCTATTTAAGGAATTTGATCCTGGCCAAGAAAGAGCCATTTCCTATCATAAACTATCTCCTCTTTTAATATAAATTCCCCTTTTCTATCTCATCTTCTTTAGATCTTTACACAAGCGGGGGGTGGGGGGGATGGGGGGGGGGGGGGGAAGCCATAAATACTCAAATAATAGAAACTGATTTTAGGGAGAGAGGTTTACCAGTTAACTTTCTTCCATATTAACCTACTATCCTCTGCCCAGCATTTAAGTTAATCAACTACAGGAAAACCTTTCCTGTGTGAAAAGCACCACTCCTCTAAGCTACTGATTTTCCCCAGTTCAAATGACTCTGTCAACAGACAGAACATGAATTACCTCACTCAAGTCCGTCCTTGTTTAAATATCAAACCAGTTTCCTGGGTAATAGAATAAGGTTTAATCTTTTTATGTTTGATGCATAAAGGAAGGCATTAAAGGAAATGCTGTTTGACAGATGACTGTCAAGTGTCTCTTTAAATAGCCAGGTATTAGCTTTGAGCACCACAAAGTTTATAGTAAAAATATGCACACACACACCCCCCTTTTTTTTTTGAGGCAGGAAGAGGAAAGTACATGGAGATTAACATGACATAATGGAATCCTATCAAATGACTTGGAAAATAAATTTTAAGTCTGCCTCTGCTGTGTGTTCTTGCTCACCTGTAGTGTAGAGAGGTGCGTCTGCTGGGACAGTAATGCTTTTTCTTGTTCTGAGGGATAAGCATTGTATCGGTGTTCATACAGCCAATCCCGGAGAATCTGAACAGACTCCTTGGGCAGGTTGCCCCTTCTCCGTCTCTTGCCCGAGCTAGCTGAGGAGGACAGGTCCAGGGGGATGTCCATGCATTCATCATCCTCGGTCTCACTGCCCGATGCTCCAACAACACCTGGGGAGGACAAAGGCCGTCTGTCAGTGGCTTTCCTAGCAAGGCGGCGCTCTTATCTGGACTACTCAGTGTAATGATGTTTTTGTAATTACTGAAAGGCAGGCAAAGAATGGGTGGTTTTCTGTCCTGCAACACAAGTCAAGTACTTAAGAGCAATTTGACTTACAACAGAGTAATTCTCAGCCGACTGCCAGAAGCCTGTTCTTACTTGCTTTCCTATAGTATTCAAAACCGTACATTCCTTTTGAATGAGCCTCAAATCCTTTCATCTGATTCAACAGAGCAAACTGTACTCAATGTGAACAGCTTGCCACATGTGGAACTGAAAGGGTGCTGCGAGGGGCTGGAATGTGCCTAACAGCCTTCTCTTTAAGGTCACTGCTAACTGGGGAAAACAACATAATGAGTACTCTGTTGTACATTTTAAAGACTATGCTGCTTTCATTAAGTTTAGAGAAAAAAGAAGAGTCACCCGCCCACCCTCACTGACATAGAGAAAATAGGACAATTTTCCCAGTTCGTTGTTGGTAGGTGCTGAGTCAAGTAAGACTCATAGCAACCCTATCAACAGATCTTAACCCTGTCCTATCCTGTCCCTCTTTGTCTCTGACACACTTGTGCTCATTGCTGCAGTTGTTGTGTCAATCGATTTTACTGAGGGTCTTCTTCTCTTTGTCTGATCCTCCACCATACTAAATATGATATTCTTTTCCTCTCCTTGTCACATGCCCAAAGTATGGTTGCCTCTAGACTTTAACTTGTACATATGTAAAAATTTACACTACTTTTATACTTATCTTGTTTCTTGTTTGTTACTGTCTATATGTAGTAAAAACAAGACTTTTAATCTACCAATAAACAGCTGCATCTTAATTTATTACAGGATAAAGAAAATGGAACAGTGAATCCCCTAAGGAAGTTCTCTTCTGATATTTAAGTATTTTAATCCTATTATAGAGAATATTTAAATAACAGCTAAACTTCACATCTGACTCTTAGAGTTAAAGATCATTTTGAACTTGAGATACACATTTTCTTTTTTTTTAGACAATCTAAACTATGATATACTTGAGTATTTCCATATTGGGAAAACTGAGTCATTTACCATGGTAGAAGCAAAAGTTCCTCATAAAGCCTAGTAAAGTAGTTTTATGAATTCTTTTCATTTACTTTTACAGCATTTTAACATAATGACACAGAAAAAGCTTCTCATACAAATAATTTGAAGTGCAGGCTTCACTTGGTGATGCAGTTTCCTTTTTGGACTGCAGGGGGCAGAAGTTGCTGAAGGGAGCACCCCAAGGCAGCCGAACTCTCCAAAGACAAAAAAGTAAAGCAAGTTCTAACAAAAGAGAATGATCTTGCAAATTCACTTTAGCCCTAGGCTTAACTAAGATGCATAAAGAAACGGAATTAGGAATCCTACATTAACCATTATGTAGTTCTAAGTTTCCCTTCACTGAAGATTTACTTAAACAGCTAAAAAAAAAAAAGTAATATTTAAAAAAAAAAGTTTAAAGCAAAGTTTTAAACTGAAACTGCTTTCATTGTTGAGAAAACGGAAGCCTTTCTTTCAAACACCGTATTATATAAACGTAGGTGGGGAGCTATTATTAAAAGCCTTGCAAATTATAAATGCATTCCTGTTTTACATTAACTTTAATAATTAAAGAAATATAACTTTTTTTTTTTACAAAAAAGTGCCAACTAATCAAATGACTAAAGAAAATTTGGATAACGTAGTTTGTTTACCCTCTCCAAGGTCTGAAAAGGCAGGCATTCCTTCCAGGCTTCTATCTTCCTCCCTTTTCTTAAGCCAGAAAAAGTGTGAAAATTTGCTAATTAAGACAGTGAATTCTCAACTGTACGAATAACAAAGAGTTTGAAACAAAAAACAAACCAGACTTCTGTCCTTTAAACTGCTTCTTTAGTGTGACACTCTTAGAACAGGCTGGTGACACTGACACAAAAGCAAGTTTCAGCTAAGTAATCCCAAACTGCAGTGCAATTCCCCTCTGTTCTCAGTTCATTTACACAAATGAATGCCAGGACTCTGAATCTCTTAACAAATATTTCCAATATGTGCACAAAAGCTAAGAAACAGGAAGTTAAGACTCGAGTTTCTTGGCCAGGCCAGCTGGTATCTCATTGCAGGCAAAAAACCACGTTAGCTTCTGTCAGGGCTGTTTTCACGAAAACTCCCAGAGTTGGTGGCTCAACTTTGAAAAACAAAGACTTTTCCTCGTTAGTCATTTCCTATTGTAATAGTGCTTTTGAAAAGTTTCCCAGTGACAACTTGTTTCCAAACTTCTTGGGCCTTGCTTACACTTTTTAAAATGTGCTTCCAGGAGGGGAGGGAAATCACAAGCCTTTTTTACTCTGCCACACACAGGGAAACGGTCAGAAAGTCACATGATGGCGTAGGGAGCTCACAAGTCTAAGAACCAATCTTATCTTGTGCACTTTGTTAACGGTTGTGAAAACCCTAAAAGAAAACTAGAAAATAATCTGAAAGCAAGAGTACATTTAAGGGAAGGTTTCAGTATGTAATTAAGAAGAGCAAACTGTTAAGTCTCCTGATTACAAGAATCTCTTAACACTCAGACACTAAGGTCTAGGTGTGCGGGGGGCCACAGCCAGCCAAGGAGAAAACTCTAAAGCAAGAACCCACCATGGCTAGAAGCTTGGAGCAAACAGAACCAAGGGATTTTCCTCATCACACCCTCTTTCTGCACGTTTCTAGGTCATTTTAGGAAGTAGGCATCTTGGGCCCATACATAATCACACACCAGTCTTAAGTAAATTCCAGACGTTGCAATTGGGTTTGTCCTTGTTTTCAAGTCCACGTGAAAAGATTTCCACCCACTTTGCTGAGACACACACACAATGGTGCAGGCCGCGGCCCGGGGGTGTAGACTTCTAAAATGGGGGCTTGTCCAGCCCCTCAAAGGTATGTTGGGAAGGAGGCCGGGGGAGGACCCGGAGCCATCCGGGAGCCAAGCGAGGACGCAGAGCAGCTTTTGTTCTGGAGTCCCTCGGCCTCTACCTAGGTCAGTGCCTGAATCTGTTCTGAGCACCGCGGACAAGGAGTTCAAAAATGCTTCAGAGACCGTTAGCAAGAAAGCAGAAGCCGGGCCTCGAACTCTAACTTCTCGGGCGGCCTGACAGAGAGAAGCCCTAGAAGGGCAAGGAAGCCCGGGGGGGGGGGGGTTTGCTTGTTACCCCTGCAACAGCCCTGTACCGGGAGAGTTTCCTTTTCAACATGTCAACCCCGCATTATCTCCATGACTCGACCTCATCGGTGCTTCCCAGGCTCGGAATTCAGGGATGTGGGGGTGCGTGAAGGACCCCAACAATGGAGGGGCCTGGGCCTGACCAACTGGAACCCCTTCAAAAACAGAATCCCCAATCTGACCGCGTTGGCGTCCCTCATTCACAGAAAAGCCCTTTGGGGGAGCTCAAGACCTGTCAAGTCTCACCAAGAGTTCAGACAACCTCGGAGAGGCGATCCTGGGCCCTCCTCGGGCTGTTTCTCAGATTTTTTTCTCCCCCTCAGACCAAGTTCACCCCTCTTCTCCCACTGCTGAGGAATCAGCGTAGTTCTAACGTTTACTTTCCCTTCCCCTGGCTGGCAAAGACCGAAGTTCCACCTGTCTTTCACAGATTCAAATGGGCAGAACCACAGAAAAATATGTAACCGAAGAAACTCTCCCGGGCAGAAGGCTGTTCCACGTTAGGATTTTTCCGTTCTAACTGTACTTGCCGTCCTGTCCATCACCGCAAGGCAAGTCTGCAAGAATGCAGCGGCCAGCCCACTACTGGGCATGCGCAGGGCCACCCCCCCCGCCCCCGCCCCTACAAGTGAGCAACTTCTGTTTTCAACACTCGACATAAATCACAACAGAAAACACAGCTCCAGCTCGGCGACAGGGTATCTGAGGGCACCTCCCAAGCAGGGACTCAAAAGTTCACTTCAAAAGGGAGTTCACGTTCTCTGACCTTTTGTGGGTTGGTTGGGGGTTCCCCCTCCCCGTATTTTAGTTGTTCAAAAAAGCCTGACGGTAAGTTTTGGTTGTAAGCCTTCCAGAACGCTTCGTGGAAACAATGACAGGGTCACTTTCTGCACTTACAACCAAGCCTGATTGTCACACTTGGACACATTCTGACTGCACGCCGCACGAAGCAGCCAGCCCCAAGTTCCAACTCGGCGTCTCGCCCCGATTCATCGTGGGAAAACTTTTAAAGACTGGGCATTAAAACCAAACCAAAAAAAGTTCATCTTTCTAAAACTGCTCATACACAAGGGCAGTTCGGGGTCCAGAATTATGTCCCCTCAATTATGAAAACTCCACATTCCTAAAGAAAAGGGCGTCGTGCCCAGCTGGGCGTGGGAGCCCTAAGCCCAACTTGAGACAAAGGCGCGGCGGCTCCGCAGTCCCGGGTGTTGGGGGCTCCTGTGCGCTGCGCCGACGACCACGCGGGATTCTCCTGTCCTGAGCCTGGAGGGGACCCTCCACATCCCAGGCCCTTGAGGATGGCCGAGAAGTCCGGCGCTGCCGGCGAGACGTAGGGTGTCGGCTCAGACAATGAAAGTTAAAGCGGCACAAACAAGACGGAGGAGCATGTTCCCTGACAACGTGCCAGCAGCATGGAGCGGCCGGTCTCCCCACAACAGCTCCTCGTGTTGTGTCTGGAGAAAAGGATCAACTGCGTTTTCAGACTGAGCCCCAACAAAGAAACGGCTGCCCGAGGGTCCCCGGCAGGAAAGTCCACAAAGTCACCAGAGTCCTCCACCCGGCGGCTTCCGCGCGTCCCCCCAGGCGCACGAGCCGCGCAGCGGGCTTACCTTTCTTGCTTTTCATCCTGAATCCCCACTTCCCGTGGGAGGGAGACCCGCCAACGGCGACGGGAGAGGTGGGCGAGGTGGCGGGCGTGGGCCCTCCGGCTTGGCCGACTTTCCCGTAACTTGGAGGTGCTACTCCAGCCGTTATTGCCAAACCAGGCGCACGGGTCCCAGGCGTCCGGTGCTTGGATGGAATTCAACTGCCACTCGGGCTTCCTCCCGCCGGGATCTCCTGGCTGCCGGCCGGGGCTCTCCCTCCCCACCCTGCTCCTTTGTTCCCTGATGGCGATCGGTGCACCTCGGCGCTGTCAGAGTGAGCAAGGCGCACAGGGAAGGTGCAGGCGGTCCTGCCTCCGCCCCCCGCCACCCGCCCGGCCCCCTCCCGCCGCCGCCGCTCGCCCCTCCCCCCGCCGGCCGGGATCGGGGACCGAGTTGAGAGCCGCGGGCGCCGGCCGCTGTCACCCGTCACTCGCGGGGGCGGCGCGGGGGTGGGGGCAGAGAAACCCAATCCTTCCTGCGGGCGGCGCGCACGCAGCCCTTGCTTGGCTCCCCACTCTCTCCTCCGGGCCTTTCTTCCCGGGACGACGAGGGTGAGCGCTGTAGTGAGAGTGCGAGTCCCCTCCTCCACCCGCGGAAGTCAAGCCGCCCTGTCGTGGTTGACAGCTGTCCCTGGCCCCGCGGGACGCGACTGTAGCGGCGGAGTCCGGAGGCTGATCCTGGGAGGAAAAGTATTCAGGACAAGCAGGAACTTCTTCCAGGACACGCGGTGCCATTGACACGCGTCCGCGGCGCGGCGCACCCTCCCCGGGCCGCTTCCCTCCCGCGGCTGCAGTGTGGGGCATCTGGGTGGGGGGGAGGACGATGACACACCGGCCTAAGTCTGCCCCCCCACCCCCCCAGCTACAGCGGCGAGTTCCGGACGGGATTGCAAAGTAGTTTCGAAATCGAACACGTTGCGGATAGACACTTGTCATGCTCACATGCTCGTCTCCGCGGGGGACGGACAGACCGCGCCCGCTGCCCTCGGGCCAGACCTCGCACCCCCGGCCCCGGCGCTCCGCCCTTCGTTCCCATAAAGGGGTGACGACTCCCGGACTGCTCAAGTTTCGGTAAACAGCTCTTAGGACTTAAAACTTTGGCAGAGGACCCCCACCCCCAGGTCTCGAACAGAAACTAGTCATTAAGTAAACACATGTCCCGGTTGGTTTATTTAGGCTTAAGAGTTGTAAGGCCTCTCGACAGAAGTTCTTAATGAAACGATCCTTTTAGGAGACTGGATGCTGAACGCCGTTTTGCCAACCGCCCCCGCCTCTCCTCGGAGTCCGGTTTGAGCGTGTGTGTTCCGTTGTTTTGAAGCAAACAAACTCACGCTACAGTAAGACTTTCCCCTCTTAAAAAAAAAACACACACACACACACCAAAAAAACCCAAAACGTAAATAAGCCCTGCAGACGTCAGCGCTAGGGTCTGCCTCCAGTTTCGACTGTGTGCTGTTTTGTTTTGTAATCTCTATGAAGTTCCTGCCAGGGGCTCCTTGGAAAAAAAAAAAAAAAAGGTAAACCCAACGAGGACTAAAGCGAGCCAAGAAGTCACTAACTGTAGACTTTGGGGCCTCTGTTTCTGGATGACTCTGAAAATTCAAGCCAGTCCAGACCCCGCTTTTACACACACGCACACACACGTGCCCACGAGGTGCTTTAGGGCCAGAGTTTAAAAGCTCGGTGGTTTTTATCCCCATCTAAGGACTTAAAATGAATAACCAGGGGGCAATGTCTCTCCAAGCAGCTTTTCTGCCTTGTTTTGCCTCGGCGGCACCCCGAGAACGAATACCCGACGCAGGCGAGCGCATGGCCTCCGCCGGCTGGACCCGGCGCCCTCCCTGCCCCGCCGGACAGGAAGCGGCGGGCACGCGGCTGCGGCGGCAGATGCGGGGCGGAGGGAGGGCGCCTCGGGTCCGTTAGCGGGCGGCTCCTGGCGGGTTTGAAGGGTTGTTTGTGCCGGGATTGGTGGCTCATTTCCGCCGGGAGCGCTGAGAGGAGGGCGGGCTGGGGCCTCGGGGAGGAGCTGGGGGCCGTCACGGCTACTCGGCGGCATGAGTGGCCGGAGCGCCGGGCACCCGGAGGTTACTTGGGAGAAGCTTTGTTTGCCAACTGCGGTGGCCCCGGCGGGTCTGGACGCGACTCCACAGAGCGGCCCGCCCGCGCGGACCCAATGCTTCCTCCTTCCCGTCGTCACCGGCCACGCGGGCCTTTCATGACCCGTACAAAGATAGCTTTTTCCTCGACTAATTACTGCGATTCTCAGACAAGTGAGATGAAAATCGAGAGTGGCCGCGAGTTTACAGCCTGGAAACAAACTTTACGGAGAAGGGGGAGAGGGAAAGGGAGCATGAAAAGGCGCTTTCAGTCTGCGGGGCGAAAAAGTCAGACTTTCAACTTGCTACAGCCGTCAGTCCGGCAGCATTTGGCAGAAACACACCTCTGTTGGAGAGAATGAGGTTGAAGCCAATTTTGAAGACATGGCGATACCTTCCAGAGGGGAAAGCCGGCATGATTCAGGGAGTCCGGGAACCACCTTCACCCCCTTTTCTGATGCCCGCCCCCATCTTGAGGCGGGTCCCAAACTTGCCCAAACGTCTCCCTTCTGGGCGTATTATGAGACCCAAATGGCTGGGATGGGCCAGTACTGGAAGAACTGGGCCACATGTTCTAGTAATTGCTAAGGATACGCTTTTCACCTATTTATTTTCTTCTCGCAGTGTGGAGACAACTCTCAGGGCCCTGGGCCTCTTAAATCCCAGAGGCTGTCAGTAAATAACTTCGATTAGGACTTTTGTCTTCCAATGCTAAACTGATGTGAGTTCACATTGGCTGCATATTATTAGGAGAAGTCATAGTATTTATTGTTAAATTGGGAGATCACATAAGAGGAATCAAGAAGGCAGAAGGCAAGCTTCATGAAGCAGCTAGAGGAGGTTACTTGAAAATGGTTTTTACCATTATTCCCCCCACTGCTCCCTCCCAGTCCTGGCACAGAGTTCTATTTGGTGTCTTCTGAGGTTGCCCCAAGGCCAAGAAAAAGGAGCAGTTGTGTAAGTTTAGTTCTCTTCACAGCCTGCAGACTCCAGTAGAAACCTAGAAAGGGAACTAAGCCAGAAAACACTATCACAAAATTTCTGATGTGGAAAAAGGAAATTTTTAAATTATCAGTGCCAAGCAATTACTTATTAGTCCCATCAAGCAATTGGAGAATGTACTCATTTCATTTATCTATTAAAAATCCACCTGTATGAATGTGGTTCCTGAGACAGGAGGTAGGGGGATGCATTTCTGATGATTGGTGAGATTCTGGGATCTCTGCTTCTGGTCTGGGGTGGGGGAGGAGCAGATATTTTTGTGAAAATAGACTGCTAGGCTCCAAACCCTAGACAATGATTCTGTCACAATCACATAGTTGACCTTTGACTTGTCAGAGGCCTGGGGCTGGACTACAGCCTTCTGAGGATTTCATCAAGTCCATCAGCATTATTTCCCTACTCTGCATTCCCTCTCAGTGACTTCTCCGTAGCCCACTTGTCACATACCACTTTCCTTAGAATTTGGACTGAACAAAAATACCTCTTCTCAAAATCATTGTTTTAGAATTTTTAAAATAAACTAGTATTAAAAAATACCTTATTGAATACTGCCTTTACCCACTTTATTCCCAACGTCCTATGTTTGCATTATGCTTTACAGCTTATGAAACATTTGGTTGTTGTAATAAACTATTATTATTATTTTAACCCCTAAAGCCAAGAAAGGGGAGCTCTGTTAGTAGGAAGGAGTTGCCAGCCAACTCAAAGACTGTGGTTCAAATCCACTAGCTGCCCCATAAGAGAAAGATAGGCAATTTCCTCAAGAGAGATTTACTGCCTGTCTCTGAAGACTCTTGGAAGGTCAGGGTTCTGACTATACAGAACATAACAAAGCCCAGAAAAGTGATGCTTAATATTATTTTTAAAAAATAAGCAGATTCATCCTGGAGAGGGTTAAACCAGGCTGCTCCTTGGAGGCAAGAATTCTGGGGCTTCGTCTGACATACTTTGGACATGTAAGGAGGGACAGGTCTTTGGAGAGGGACATCATGCTTGCAAGGGTGGAGGAACAGCGCAGGAGGGGAAGACCCTCTATGAGGTGGATTGATTCGGTGACTGGGGTAGTCAGGATGGGTGTGTCAGAGGCAATGCGATTGGCACAGGATAGAGCAGGGTTTAGGGCTGTTGTACATAGGGTCGTTATGAGTCACAAGTGACTTGACGGCACATAACTAAATCAAGTGGGGTTTTGTTTCTTTTTTGTTTTTTTATGGACATGCTGTCATACTTTTTGGAAGGTCAGAAGGATGTGGATAGTAGTATAAGGGCAAAAACCTCCAATTAGAATATCAGGGCCTCCTGAACACTTTATGATTTGTTGTTGATGTTATGTACCTTCGAGTCGCCTGCAACTCATACCGCCTCTATGTACAACAGCACTAAACCTTGCTCTATCTTGTGCCAATCTCACCATCTTCGACACACCTACCCCCATTTCCCCAGTCACTAAACCAATCCACCTCATAGAAGGTCTTCCTCTCCTGTGCTGTCCCTCCACCCTCCCAAGCATGACGTCCCTCTCCAAGGACTAGTCCCTCCTTGCAACATGTCCACAGTACGTTAGACAAAGCTTCAGAATCCTTGCTTCCAAGGAGCAGACCTCCAAACAGTTCACCCTCTCCAGGGTTTGTTTTCTAAACAATCCATGGTATATTCAATACTCTTCTCCAACATCACAGTTCAAAGGCCTGAATTCTCCTTGTATCCTCCCTAGTCATTGTCCAGCTCTCTGACACATAGCAAGTGATTGCAAAGACCATGGCCTGTGCTCTTCAGTACTTTGGAGAGGTCCGTAACAGCAGATTTTCCCATTGTAATACATCTTTTGATTTCCTGGCTGCTGGTGCCAACAGTATTGACTGTTGAGCCAAGAAAACTAAAGCTGTG